TGAACTCAATTGAATGAGAATAGATGGAAATGATTTTAGTTGGTGAAATCATGAAAAGGACTTGGGAAAGTATTTTCAAATTTTGAAAGATTATAATAGGGTAGTTTTGTATTCATCCAACGAGTTAAAAATAGATAATTGTATTGCAGTTCCTTTGTGGCAATTGATTATTTATACTCCTCCCATTATTTCACTTGACTGAATAAAAAGTGAAGGTAATTAGGTCATCCAAACAGATGGTAGAGAGTGAACAAGAAAAAAGTGAAAAAGGTCAAAATGTTTGCGTAAAAACACTCAAAACAGATGATACAAAATGAGTAAGAAAAAGTGAAGTCCAAATCTGATCTCATGCTGCTTTTTGTGACTCCCTTTTTTTTGCACAAGTAAAATGTAAACCGCAATGAATGAAAAAGTCAGATGTTGATAGCTAGGTTGGGATGCATCTTGTGAGGGCAATGTGTGAATTATTTCGGTCTGACTGCTTCTGTTGCTTCCAGAAATTCCAACCATATTTTCAACCAACTCACTCCCTTTTAGTTGCACACAATACATATAAAATCGAAGATCATCAAAATTCAATTTTTTAAAACCGTATAATAAATCGAGATGGTTCTACTAGGACTTAGAAGATCCTTACATTTCAGTTTGGTGATTCGGACTATCAGAAATGTTCGAATCGATGTTTTTCGGATGAGATTTATGAAGATTTCTAATTATAAGTTAGTCTTTTCTTTTCCATTTAGTATATGTCGACTGGCAGAAAATAAACAAATCTAAAAAAGAGGCCTGAGCACAGTCCAAAGCGAGTTGCTCTGCAGGGAATACATATATGTTTATTCCTAGAAAAACCTCATGTTTTGTCTCTTTCCATGAGTGTTTTCAAACTCATGTAAAAATGTTGAGACATGACAATCATGTTTCTCTTCACAACATTAAACACAGCGCACGAATTCAAAACACGATAAACGAGTGGGACGATGAGAAAAACTCGTTCAACCAAAAAAATCAAATTGTATGGTTTAAGACATTACAAGAAGCTCATGTTCCCATCACATAATTAATAATATGTCTCGAGTCACTAAGATATGGTGGCCGAAATGTTGTCTGCGAAAAAAAAAGAACAAAACAAAACAAACAGAACAAAAGGGAATGAACTATTATACAAAAATAGACGACGGTATGTAAAGACAGAAGAGAACCTTAGTTGCCCACAAATCAATAACCGAACCCAAGAACTTTCCTAGGGTCCAACTGCCCACTACAATAACTCGATGAGACAGTCGAGAGCTCTTGACGGCATTTCCACTCTTCAAATGGTTTCAGAACAATTGGGGTTTCAATAGAAGCAGAGTCCACACATAAAATAGTTTTGTAATCATCATCCCCCAAGTCAGGTTGAGCCTTAGATTTTTTATCCCAAGGATTCCATACAACTGTTAAAAAAAAAATTACTGTAACCGAGCGCAAAAATCAAATCACAACTTGGAAGGGGAAATGAGATGATGGTAAGAACCTGCATCGGGCATGCCCTCTTTACGAATCTCATACGTTCTCTTCTTCTCATGGTCTATTATGGCTATCTTTGTTGGAGTGCTTAAATACACTCGATCAATCTATAAAGAAGCAACATATGAGCAAGTGCTTTACGGTATTTTGGATTTCAGAAGAATCTTTGTCAGGCAAAAAGTTGAGCTCAAAAAGCTTCCTTTGGCAAACCCATCTTAAACCTAGTATATACATTTGAATTTTGCTACGGCAGATAAAAAAAGGAAAACACATTACCTCACCATCAAAAGTAATTGCATCTGCCTGCTCTGTGTACCTTTCTCTTTGTGACAAATTGTCAAAGTAGTCAAGTGTCTCCAGGCCCTCGACCCGCACTTCACTAAAAAATCAAAAAGAATAACATAGCCCATCTAGAAAGGATAAATAATATAGCACATTGGCAAACGTAAAGCAGTGTTCGGAATCCATTCAGCAGAAACAAAAACATGATTGCCATATTTAATTATTTATACATGAATAGTTTCAAGCAAGAAAATTTTCTGTTAAGAGATAACCAAAACCTGATATCAGACACAGTCAGATAATTGCACAAAGCAAATGTGAAAGAAAACGCCTTGTTATCAGTGTTCCGCACGCGAGGGATCAAGGTGAGCTTTCCAGCTGTCAAGGAAATTCGTAAACGCAACTCAAACCTGCAAACATCAGAACCAAAAAAGAAAAAAAAAAAAAAGGTTTAGAAAAATCCCTCAGTTTAGAGTTAATTAGTAGATCATCATAGCCTCCTCACCTATGAGGCCAAGTCTTCAAATCCTCCTCTGTGGATTTTAGCATAATATCCACGGTTGCTTGATTGGTCACAGGGGGCAAAGGCGAAGGAGAGCTGTCTAACGACCACATTCTACTTCTAGCAAACCCAGGTTGCTCCAGTGAACCAAAATTGGCAAACTAAAATGTGTATTTGATGACATATGAGAGAGTATACATAAGATATCGGCTACTAATTATTTTGGTAATTAAGTCGGTAACAAACCTGCGGGAAGCAAATGGCTACTCCACCCCTGATACCTTTTCCTGGCTTCCATAAAGCCTATCGATCAACATGATATTGACACATTTACACACATAACATAATCAAATTCAAACGACAGACTAAAGATACAAAAAATTTGGTAGTACGCTACGCATTTCAACTGCATTGACACAGAGTTCTATAAACCAGTGCATGACAATCCATGGAAGGCCATAATTTTTTTATTAATATATCTCTACACTGTCACTTACCATGTATTAATCACAAAAAGACAAATATATGATAAACCATACATTAACCTCACCTTATTGGTCATGAATAGCATCTCCTCTCTTTTCTCATTCTTCCAAGATATCACCTGCCCACCATATAAAAGCACCTGGCGCAACAAATGAAAAAATTTCTCACTACAATCATCCAAGCATCAAAGTTTCAATTGGCAACTTCATCTCCTACTAAAATTTGTCATTAAGTAACCAGATGAAACTTATACCCAACGCATGCAGAACAATGTAACAATAGTCATTTTTGCATATGTGAAAAACGAAATTACCCTGAGCAAAAACATAGCACAAAATGCAATAATCCCATCGATGATTAACATGAACATTACACCTAACCAGAAAAGCACAAATTCTCACTACATATCATCCCAGCATTACGGTTTTGAGTCGCATCTTCATCTCCTACTAAAAATTGACATTAAGTAACCAGATGAAACTTATACCCACGCATGCATAAAAATATAACTCTACTCATTTTTGCATATGTGAAAAACGAAATTAGCGTGAGCACAAACGCAAACCCGAGCACAGCATGAACTGTAATAGTCCCATTGATTAACATGAACATCACACCCACCAGAAAAGCACAAACCTCAACTGTAGAGCCGGTAGGTTCGGACAATATGACCCGACCCGATCCATCGCCGTCCTGAATTACATTCACCGGCATCGTGCTTATCTCGTCGGAAAAAACTCGCGATCGGTTAGGTTTTCGCACGCCCAACCAAATTAAAACCTGTAACACCAAATTGCTCAAAAAAGGGCTGAAAACCGATCGACAATATTGAAAAAAAAATGAAATGATGTGAAACTAACTGGACACTTGGCGCAACAAAAAATCGATCAAAAGAATATCTTATCATAAAATCATCACGGAGCTTGAGAAATCGTCCACCAATTATCAGTCCGTTTTCTTCACGAAAGGGACGTAAAGCTAATCGATCATTATAATCAAAATTATCACATATGATGGGATGGAATGGATTCTGGGACAGAGATTTTCATTTTCAGTTATTATATTAAATTATTTTTATTTATTTTTTTATTTTTTCTCATGGCCCAATGGCCCCACGAGCGAAAACAGGCAAAACAGCACTTGGCCCAGTGGGCTTATTTGGATAGGTCAGTCTTTTAACATTTAGTTGGGTCTATTAATGCCTGACCCACTCTACTCCTCCGGCTCCAAGTACAGAAGTACAGAAAGCATTTCCCCAGTCAACTAGGTTGAATCGCAAGAATAATTTTAGGCTCCAATTGGATATATTTTATAACTTATTATTCCATCAATTAATTAAAAAAATAATATTTATTCATTTTTATTTTTTATTTCACTTTTTTTCACTCATTTTTGAACAAAAAACTAGTATCCTCACCCATGCGATGCACGGGACATATTTATTAAAATATTTTAATAAATATATTAATATATACATATATCATAAAAAATAAATGACAATTAAATAACATTATTATTGAATGGATAGTAAAAGTACAATATTGTATGGTATTACAAATTGTGGAAAACTTCTCGATAGAAAACATTTTTAGTAGTTTTCTTTTCCCCATTATCCTCCCCACATATTAATATCTTCAATCATTGTGGATTAGTAACTCGAGACACAACAATGTATAATTGACCATGACTAAACACGAGTCTTTTCAAGTAAAGTCTGACATGGGATAACGACTGTCCTTGACTCTTGTTGATTGTCATTGCGTAAGAAACCATAAGAAGAAATTGTCTATGCTGGAACTTGAAGGGTATCCTGAGATCAAATGGAGTTAGGGAAAGTCTTGGTACCAATACCTTATGTCTAGCATTTGATCCTGTTAGAATCTTACATTCAAGCACGTGAGTGCTAAACTTCGTTATCCCCAAGTGTGTTCCATTACACAGTCCAATCGAATGGTCAATGTTTCTCAACAACATGACAGGAGTCTCAACCTTTAAGTGCAATTCATGATTTGGAACACCAGAACATTTTATACTATTTAAGAACTCCGGCGTGTGCAGGTCATGCAAGAAATCATCACCACCATCGAATTTGCATGTGGTATCAGAACTTAAATAAGTATTACCATCCGATATATTCAAAGATGACATATATTCATTGATGGATTCAACAGAGGTAATATAGTCCTATCTTTCAAATATATGAGATCATCATGCAATCTTTAACCATTGGATACGTGTTTTCCACGATGGTTGCGATGGGGTCAAACACAA